GATGGTCAATAGTCTTCGTAGTGTATACTGCCTCTGTTGCAGCTACTGAGCTATGGTATAAAAGTTGCCATAAAACATAAGTAAATATTACTGTGTTCCAATAAAAAAAAAAAAAAAAGTCATTCATAGAAACAGGTGGTAGGCTGCTGTATACCATGGACCCACACTTTGGTCTATGAGTTATAATTAATTAAAAATAATAATCATTCTGACGTTTTTAATCTTTTAAGCCAGCAGGTATGCTCTACAAAGGAATGAGAAAGTAAGGCAGTTAGTAATAAACTGGAAACATCTTTTTGGGTTCCATTGAAATACCCTGGTGTGATTTCAATAATTTGCAGCCACAATTTGAATGTCTAAAATTCCAGTCACTTTAGGAGCAATAAATTACTCTTAGCTTGAAAAGGTAATTGCTTTTTTTTTTTTTTTTCAGTAAAAAGGGGAGCTCTGGTGGCGTAGGGCCTAAGGCATTTGATTGCTAAGCAGAAGGCTGGCAGTTCAAACGCACCACCCACTCCTCGGAAGGAAGGTTGGGCAATCTAATCAGTAAAAAGAGCTAGTGTTTTGTAGACTACTCTGGTAGCCTGATGGAATCATAGAGGTGAAAGGGGCTTTAGGGATTCTGTGTCCCATCACCTTAGGGACAGTTAGAGATGAGGGAAAATAAAGTGAATTGACTCGCTCAAGGCCACAGCACATGAGTGGCTGAGCTGAGACTAGACCCCAGGTCTTCTTTCTCAATTAATGCTGTCAGTAGTACATGGTTCAGCTTTGCTGGTACTGCAAAACGGAGAACTGCTAATCAATATCACTGAACAACTTGTGTAGAAATTGTTGAATGGGAACCCAAACTGCTATATAAACTTTCTCAAAAACAACAAAATATTCTTTAATAAAAAGGGGGAGATGGGAGAACTGCTGGTTAACCACCACCTGTGACCATTTTTTTTGCATCCTTCACTGAGGTTTCAGAGCTATGCATGGAAAAGTAAGACACGTTTTATACTGTATTTGAGTTAGAAGTGCACGCCTTTTTGGATAGTAATGTTTCTTGGGTTTTGTTACAGTCATTACTTATTTTTCTATTTTAGGGAAGGAAGGTCATTGTCAAAAAGAGAACTCCCTTTCTTCCAGAGATAATGCTTATTGTTTAGCTTTGGATCATGTTGCTTTCAGTCCTCCATTTCATAAGGACAAAATGCTAAGTCTAAAGCAACTGTTGTCTTTTTTCAAAATCACAGACTTTCAGTTACCTGATGAAGACTTTGGACCTCTTAAGCTGGCAAAACTGAAGTCCTACTCAGAGAAAATGATTGAGTCTTCTGAATCAAAAATGTGTGCAGAGAGGCCCCTTAAAAAGGGAAACTGTGCTATATTGGAGGAACTGCTTCCTAAACAGATAGATCTAGACAAGGAAGTCTTGGAAAAGGAACTCATTTTTCTACCAGGAAAAACACATCCTAAAATGCCAAACCTAGAAAGCCAGCCTAAGAAGAAGGATCTCTCTTCGTCCTTGTTACTTTTCACTCCTTCAGATACTCTTGGACCTGATGGTAATGACAGGCCCACGGCAGACGTGTGTTCACCGGCCTTACCAAGCTTAGGCATGACTCCAGCTTGTGGCTCCCTAGCACACTATGAAAATGTGTCTGCAAAAGGTGTTGGATGTACTTGCTATACACCCCAACTTTCTCACTTGAAAGACATAGTCAATCTTGGTAGTGATGATAGACAAGGCAACAGTTCAGTTGGTCCCTCAGAATTGGATACCAGCCTCCATGTGTTAGATAGGAAAGGACAACCAGACCGTGACTATGACTTGGGCTCCCACACAGCACCTGTACTCCAGGAGTCATTCACTGCCAAAGGAAATGAGCTACATGGAAGTCCATGCCCAGAGTTGTGTGAAGATTCAGTTGAGCAGGTACAATCTGTTTCCTTCATGACCTTTTCTTTGAAGATGTGGAATGTCTTAGTATGGACAGCATGACATCCTTTCACCTTGATACCCTCCATGTTTAACAATGTTTTAACGTGTTTCTTTGATATGACTTCATTGTAAATATTAAATTGATTTGGGAGAAATTAAGATTAAAAAATATATATATATAAAAACATAGGGTGATCCTATTTTGTTTGCATTTGGAACTTTGCTGCTATTTCTAGAGGAAATCAAATGACATGAAGTAGACATGTTGATGATGAGTGAGTGATAGAGGGCGACATGATACATAAAGTATAGGTAAATGGTGTCTTTTGTTTTCACAGACTGAAATAACAGACCTTCCTGCTTCTGATAGCTTAAACCCGGGCAACCTACAATTGGTTTCAAAGTTAAAGGTCAGGAGAATATTTCCTTATAGTGTATCTTGTTTTATATCTCTGAAACAATTGTTAAATTGACAAGAAAATTAAAAAGAACTTGATCATGTAATTTTTTGTTCTTTATTTAATGCTATTTGATGAAATTGGTAAAAACATGTATTTTTAAAATTATCCTTCCTGTGTACTTTGAGATCTGAGAAAGTTTGTATATGAAGCTATTGCCAATAGCAACACAGGCTTAGTAACTCAACTTTGTATCTAAATTTAAATCAGCCATTCTGAAGACAGACAGAAAAGAGTCTTTCATGCCTCTCCTACTCTAGTGGTGTAATCTTTCTAGAAAACTTATGGTGAACTATGAAGTAGAATAGTATGCATCGACCCTGTTGACATTGTGGCCTGGCTGATGCTGTGTTGTGGGGATCCATCTTACACATTGTAGTGTGTTTAGCAGGCTCTACCTACTAAATACCAGTAATAACCCCTCTCCAGTTGTGAAGGGGCTCTGGTGGCACAGTGACTATGGCATTTTACTGCTAACCAGATGGTTGGCAGTTCAAACCCATCAGCCACTTGGCAGAAGAATGACAGCAATCTATTTCCATAAAGACTTAACTACCTCAGAAATCCTGTAGATGTTGCTATGAGTTGGAAGCAACTTGATAGCAGTGGGTATGGTTTTTTTGGTCTCCAGTTGTGATGACTAAAAAATGTCACTAGACATTGCTAAATATCCCTGGGGGAGCAAAACCACTGGGGTAGAGGAAGGAGCTTTAAAGTCATGCAAACTTTTTGCCTCTTACTGACTGCATAACCTTCAGCAAATTATTTCGCCTCTGAGCCCCAGTTGCCTTTTCTGTAAAAGGCAGATACTGATACCTGTGGTCTGTATCAAAGCTATTCTCTAGTCAATTTTAATAACTTAGTTTCTTAAGCAATTAACCATTTCATTCTTATTTTCAAACCTGTATGTAAAAATTTATCCTTAATTTTTCTGTCTATGTATATGTAATTAAGCCTCGCCCCAGCAATTTCTAAGAGAGTTTATTTTTTTCTCTTGCATCAGACATACCAGAGATAAGTCTTTTCTTTTGGTATTCAAAAAAAATCACTTTTTGGTTATACTGATTGTTAATTGGTTATTTTTGTTTGTTTACTATTTCATTTCTTTTTTATTTATCCTTAATAATATCCTTCTTCTGTTTTTCATTTTGCTTATTTTTCATTCTGTTACTGTTCTTGTACCAACTTTTTCTTTTAGGTTGTGTGTGTGATTTGGGTGAAAATTTACAGAGCAAATTCTCATTCCATACAGCAGCTCACATGCACTGTCTCGTGACATTGACTACAATTTGCCCCAATCCACCGCTTCCTTCCTACTTCCTCCCTATAGTTACCTCTTCCCTGTGTCCATCCCTCCATGCACTCCTGCCCCCTGAGCTATCTCCCTGTGCATAAACAGCCCTTCTTTCTCCCATGATTGTTCTCTCCAGGGAGTGTATCTACCTCAGGTAAATGTTCAACTCATATGCCTGTCTTTTGTTTGGTTGGAAGCCACAGGTGTGGGTTCAATTCTAGACCTGAAGGGCAGCTAGGGGCCATAGTATCAGTGGTTCCACCAAGCTCTATCAGACCAGCAAACCTGGTTTCCCCCTTTTTTTTCCCCTAAATGATGTTGAGTTTTGTTCCACATTGTTCTCCCTCTCTATCCAGGATCTCCTACATAGATCCTCCTCCGAGTGGTTGACCGTGGTAGCCAGGCACCATCTAGTTCTTCTGGTCTCATAGTTGTATAGGCTGTGGATCGCATGGTGTTCCAGTCGCCAGGACTAATGTTTTCCATGAATCTTTGGTTTTCTTCATTCTTTGCTCTGGACAAGGAGAGACCCATCATTGCATCTAGATGTCTGCTTGCAGCCTTTTAAGATCCCAGTCGCTACTCGCCAAAGTAGGAGGTGGAACAATGTTTCATGTAATATGTTATGCTAATTGAGCTTGATGTCCTCTGCGACTGTGGTCCTAAGCCCATTGGTTCAACTACTCAGTCCCTCTGGGTAGCTGGCTGTGACCAAGAAGTGACTACAACCTTGTCCCTTGTCAGTGCTACTATGCACCTGAGAATTCTTACAGATCATATAGATACACTTATAGGACCATTGTCTGCCAACCCTATACATGGTCTTGGGTACACTCCCCACTACAGAGACATATCTAATAGTTCAGCCTGTCCACCCATCTATCCACCTGTATACCCGTGTTTGCCTTCGCTGACAACGCGTACTGTATGTGTAAAAGGGTTCATCTTTGTTGTCTGTACCTTCCATGTACTTCTCTATGTCTTCCTCTTCCTCAGTGCTACCATGTTGATCACTAACATTTGGTCTTTTACCAACTTTCTGAGTTGCATTCTTTATTGTAACATTTCTTGCTTTCCAGGAAAGCCTTTATGCTTATAAATTCTTTTTTAGAAATACTGCTTTGACCATACCTTCTGGTTTGGGATATGCAGTACTCTCCTTATTGTTTATTTATAAAATAGTGTGTCGCTTCAATTTTTATGTCCTCTTCAGCCTCCGAATGATTGATCAGGATGTTTAATTTCTAAATAGATACATTCTTATGGGCCCCTTTTTCTGGTTAAAACGAAATTTATTACATTCTGGAGTTACACATTTTAAAATTTATCAAGTTATAAGTATGTATGGATAGTTATTTTAGTTGTATAAGACCCCCAGAGTTTTTTTTCTTTTGAATCACATACAACTTTAATTATGATAGTCTGGTATTTTATCTAATCCTTGACATTTATCACATTTCAAATCAATTTTTTTTTTTTTCATAAAACAGGCCTCAAATATCACCTTAAAATAACTATTGTTGCTGTTTTGTTGTCAGAATCCTTCAGGTTCCTGTTCCGTGGACGTGAGTACCACCTGGTGGGAAATAGCTGGTTATAAAGAGCCATGCATCATAACTGCTTGTGAATATGCAGTTTCCCTTTGGAAACCTCTGGATACTTGGCAGTGGGAAAAAGTTTATTCCTGGCATTTCACAGAGGTAAGTCAGAAATCAGAGCTGAAGGAAAAACTCTGCGGTCATTTGCATGATAATTTAGATGGGCAGCTTATCAAAATTGGAACCTATGCCCATGTCACTTTAGTTTTGTATATTTCACTGTGCATAAATTATATTTCAATAAAATATTTTTTAAAAAAATGGAATCTATGACTGTGCAAGGGACAACAGAGATGAATTTTTTTCCCAACATGTTGTTGTAAAAATTTTCAGACATATAGAAAAGTTGTATGTGCCCACTACCATTTGCCCACCATCATTTGCTTGATCACATGCTTATCCAGAGAGAGGTTTTTATACTTGACATGTTGGAAGAGCTTGGAATTTCATGCCTATTCTGACTTCTAAACGTGCCGATTCCTATATTGCTTGCCCTTTACCAAAATATTACTTCTGCTTGATTGTGAGATGTATTTCCTTCTAGTCTTTGTCCATATCTTACATGGTTGCAATTCTAATGGGCTTAAAGTTTTTAAATCTGCCTTTTCTTACCATATAAACATTTTTCTTTGTTTCTAAATATTCTTCATTATTGATCATCATTCTTGTTCAACACCGTATACTCAGATCCTAGAACTATGCTTTGCACACAAGTACTCAATAAGTATTTGTTCAGTGAATATACTTACATTTTAAGTGGCTGCATAATGCCAGAACTTACTAATTATACCCCTATTGTTATATGTATACCAAAAAAAACAAACTCACTGCCATCGAGTTAATTATGTCTCCTAGCGACTCTAAACAAAGAATCATAACCAGTAGTTGGAAAATATGGCTTTGGTGATAGAAATGACGCTGGAGATCACATGATAGAATTTTGTAAGACCAACAACTTACTCATTGCAGATACCTTTTTCAGCAACATAAATGGTGGCTGTACACGTGAACTTTGCCAGATGGAGTACAGAAGAATCAGACTGATTACATCTGTGGCAAGAGGCAATGGAGAAGCTCAATATCTTCAGCCAAAACAGGGCCAGGAGCTGACTGTGGAACAGACCATCAACGGCTCATATGCAAGTTCATGTTGAAAGCTGAAGACAATTAAAACAAGTCCACAAGACCAAAACATGACCTTCATTATATCCCTCCTGAATTTAGACCATCTGAAGAATAGATTTGATGTATTGAACACTAGTGACCAAAAACCAGAGGAATTGTGGGGTGACATCAAGAACATCATCCATGAAGAAAGCAAAAGGTCGTTAAAAAGACAGGAAAGGAAGAACCGAATAGATGTCAGAAGAGACCCTGAAACTTGCTCTTGAATGGAGAGCAGCTAAAGCAAATGGAAGGAATGACAAGATAAAAGAGCTGAACACAAGATTTCAAAGAGCAGCTCAACTGAACATTTACATTAGGTAGATACACTTCTTGGAGAGAACAATCGTGGGAGAATAGAGGGCTGTGTATGCACAGGGAGACAGCTCAGGGGCCAGGAGTGCAGGGGAGAGAAGGACACAGGGAAGAGGTAACTATGGGGAGAAAGTGGGGGGGGGGAGCTATTGCATTGTGGTAAATTACAGTCAATGTCATGAGACAGTGTACTTGAGCTGCTGTATAGATAGTGAATTTGCTCTATAAACTTTCACCCAAATCATAAGAAAAATTTAAATTAAAAAAAAAAGCAGCTCAGGAAGATAGTCAATTATAATGAAATATGCAAAGACCTGGAGTTAGAGAACCAAAAGGGAAGAATATGCTCAGTATTTCTCAAGCTGAAAGAGCTAATAAAAAAATTCAAGCCTCAAGTTGCAATATTGAAGGATTCTATGAGCAGAATATTGAATGATGCAGGAAACATCAAAAGAAAATGGAAGGGATATACAGAGTCACTGTACCAAAAACAATTGGTCAATGTTAATCCATTTCAGGAGGTGGCATATGATCAAGAACCAATGGTACTGAAGGAAGAAGTCGAAGCTGCACTGAAGGAATGGGTGAAGATCAAAGCTCTGCGACTTGACAGAATACCCATTTAGATGTTTCAACAAACAGATGCCATGCTGGAGGCACTCACTTATCTGTGCCAAAAAATTTGGAAGACAGCTACCTGGCCAACTGACTGGAAGAGATCCATATTTGTACCCATTCCAAAGGTGATTCTACAGAATGAAGAAATTATCAAACAGTATCGTTAATATCACACATAAGTACTATCTTCCTGAAGATAATTCAAAAATGGTCGCAGCAGTGTATTGACAGAGAACTTCCAGAAATGCAAGCTGGATTCAGAAGAGGACATGGAATGAGGGGTATCATTGCTGATGTTAGAAGGATCTTGGCTGAAAGCAAAGCATACCAGAATGATGTTTACTTATGTTTTATTGACTATGCAAAAGCATTCAATTGTGTGCATCATAACAAATTGTGGATAATGTTGAGAAGAATGAGAATTCCGGAACACTTAATTGTACTTGTGAGGAACCTGTACATAGACCAGGAGGCTGTCATTCGAATAGAACAAGGGGATACTGCATGTTTTAAAATCAGGAAGGGAGCTCATGAGGGTTGTGTCCTTTCACCATACTTATTCAACCTGTATGCTGAACAAATTATCCAAGAAGCTGGGCTATATGAAAAAGAATGTGGCATCAGGATTGGAGGAAGATTCATTAACAGCCTACGATACACAGACAACACAACTTTGCTTGCTGAAAGTGAGGATGACTTGAAGCACTCACTGATGAAGATTAAAGACTACAGTCTGCAGTATGGATTATACCTTAATATAAAGAAAACAAAAATCCTCACAACTGGACCAATAAGCGGTATCACAATAAATGGAGAAAAGATTGAAGTTGTTAAAGATTTCATATTAGTTCCACAATTAACACCTATGGAAGCAGCAGTCTAGACATCAGTGGACCTATTTCACTGGGCAAATTTTCTGCAAAAGACCTCTTTAAAGTGCTGAAGAGCAAAGATGTCTCCTTGAAGACTGAGCTGCGTGTAAGCCAAGCCATGGTATTTTCAGTCACCTCATATGCATATGAAAGCATATGAAAGGAAGACTGAAGAAAAGTTGATGCTTTTGAATTGTGGTGTTGGTGAAGAATACTGAAAAGTATCTCGGACTGCCAAAAGAACTAGCAAATCTGTCCTGGAAGTGTAGCCGGAATGCTCCTTGGAAGCAAGAACAGCCAGACTTCTTCTTACCTGCTTTGGTCATGTTGTCCGAAGGGACCATTCCCTGGAGAAGGATATCATGCTTGGTAAAGTGGAAGGTCATCGAAAAAGGGAAGGCCCTCAACAAGATGGATTGACACAGTGGCTGCAACAATGGGCTCAGGTATAGCAAGGATTGGGAGGCTGGCACAGGACCGAGCAGTGTTTCATTCTCTTGTACGTAGGGTCACTATGAGTTGGAGACAACTTGATGGCACCTAACAACAGTGACCCACAGTGGGTTTCTTAGGCTGTAAATCTTAATGGAAGTAGATCGCCCCATCTTCCTTCCACAGAGCAACTAGTGGCTTTGAACTGCCAACCTTCTGGTTAGCAGTCAAATGCCTTAGGCACTGTGCCACCAAAGCTCCTTATTATTATATATTTAGATTGTATTAAATGCTACAATAAATGTTGTTAGGTGCTATCGAGTTGATTCCAACTCTTAGCAGACTGGTGTGACAGAGTAGAGCTGCTCCATTGAGTTTTCTAGGCTGTAGTCTTTACAGGAGCAGCTCACCAAGTCTTGTGGAACCACCTGGTAGGTTTGAAATGCCACCCTTTCAGGTAGGAACCGGGAAATTAGCTTTGTGCCACCAGGGCTCCTTGCTACAGTAAATACTATTATTCATATAGCTTATTTGGATTTACGGCTTACTAAAAGGGATGTTTATTGAACCTTCTTGGATTTATTTGAATGGTAGAAACTCCCTGGTATAGTGAGAGTAGAAGGGGATGTGATAAATTTTGTAAAATTTAGATTCATTAAAAATGAAATATCATCAGCCACATGGGAGAGTGGGAAGGAGCACCATGCTGTGGCCCAAGGACATGCGTTCAAGTCCTGACTACTTTTTCCTAGCTGGGCAACCTTGGCCGGCAAGGTGTCACCAAGGCCATCTGTGACCTCACGATATTAAAAATAATCAACCTAATATACTTTTTGGCCGTTTTGTTTTGTTTAGGTGCCAGTGTTACAGATTGTTCCAGTGCCTGACATCTGTAATCTTGTGTGTGTAGCTTTGGGGAATTTGGAAATCAGAGAGATCAGGTATGTCATTCTCAAGGAGTGAGTAGCACAGTGCCTAAGGCATCTGACTGCTAACCACAAGGTTGGTGGTTCAAACCCACCAGCCATTCCACAGAAGCAAATCTGGGCAATCTACCTCCATAAAGATGTACTGCCTCAGAAACCCAATGAGGGTCGCTATGAGTCAGAATTGACTTGATAGCAGTGAATTTGGTTTGGTTTTTATCTTTATGTCTGTCAGACTGTGATGAGTACACATTATAACTTGGCTTGAGTCTTAAAAGAACCTGAGTTTAGATCTAAACAGACATTTGTTTTAAAAAGGGAAGAAAGAAACTATCAATAGAATGACATCTCAGAATGAAGTTTCCATTTAAAATTTGAACTTGCCCTTTAATGTGACTTATTCCTGACTTCTCCCCATTTTTCCTCTTATTTTGTTTAGGGCTTTACTCTGTTCCTCTGATGATGAAAGTGAAAAGCAGTTGCTTCTGAAATCTGGAAATATAAAAGCTGTGCTTGGCCTGACAAAGAGGAGGCTGGTCAGTAGCAGTGGGACCCTTTGTGATCAACAAGTAGAAATTGTGACGTTTGCAGAAGATGGAGGGTAAGAAAAGCATTGGCTAGTTTTAACCGTGAAATAGAGAGTGATTTTATCACAGAGCTCAGAAAGTTGGAGCACTGGGATCCTGTTTTTTCTGTGGTGTAGGTGCAGTGTAAGGAGCTCTGGTGGCTCAGTGCATAAGGCATTTGACTGCTAACCAGAAGGTTGGAAGTTCAAACCCACAAGCCCCTCCACAGAAGGAAGATGGGTCAATCTACTTCTGTAAAGATTTACCACCTCAGACACCCAGTGGGTGTTGCTATGAGTCGGTATCAACTCAAGGGCAATGGGTTTGGTGGTTTTTTTGGTAGCACAGTGGTTTAGTGCTCAGTTGCCAACCGAAAAGTTAGCAGTTTGAACCCACCAGCCACTCCATGGGAGAAAGTTGTGCAGTCTACTTCAATAAAGGTATACAACCTTAGAAACCCTGTGAAGCAGTTCTACTCTGTCTCGTAGGGGACCATGAAAGAGCAATGTGTTAGGTGCAGTGTGGCCATATCGTAGTTAGAGCTGTGATAACCAGCAGTTCAGAGAGATAGAAGCTAGATAGGATGGGTAAGATGTCAGGGGGCAGAGAGGCTCAGCACACATAGTTTGCTTTTTCTTTGGTCTTCTTTGACATCTCTGTTCTGTAACGTACCTAAAGGTTCTAGGCCCTTTTCTTACTCCATGCACTTTGTTTCCGGTTCTTCAGTTGCCATCTAGGTGCTGACTACTTGCATAGTACTGTATTTCTAGCACATAATGTTTCAAGCCCTGAGCTCCCTCTAGAGCTCTAGACTTGCAGGCCTCTTTATTAGACATCTCCGGGATGACTCAAATTGAGCATGTTGAAAGCTGAACCCTTATAGCATCCCCTTTATTTCTCATATACTTGTCATAGTTTATTGTGATTAATTATTTCTGTCTTTTCTAGTAAGGAAGAGCAGAGATCTTGGCTGTCTTGTTCATTCATGACCTATTGCAGTCATCAAGGGAAAGACAAATAATGGTTTGCTTAAGTTATGAAAGAGTTAGTGGAGAGAGAAGCAGACAGATTTGAGAGAGGTGAGAAGGTAAAATCATGAGGACTCGGTGACTGACTGAAGAGACAGGGAAGAGACAAGGATAATGCCCAGGCTGTGGATTGATTGCTTGTTTAGCTGGTGCACTCTGTTGGGATAAAGAGTGTAGAAGGCGACCTGAAGTTTAAAGAGAAAACCTGTGAGTTTGACTTTGGATGTGACAAATTTGAGGTACTTGGAACATTATAGGCAGGTAGTATGCAGCAGTACATACATGTTCACAGTAAAAAAATTAGAACACACATGTTTTCTTTTTTAAATTTTTATTGTGATTTGGGTGAAACTTTACAGAGCAAGCTCACATATACTTTGTCTCATGACGTTGACTGCAGTGTCCCACGATGCAACAGCTCCCACTTCCTCCCCATAGTTACCTCTTCCCTGTGCTCTTCTTTCCCATGCACTCCTGCCCCCCGAGCTCTCTCCCTGTGCATACACAGCCCTTCTATTCTCCCATGATTGATCTCTCCAAGGAGTATATCTACCTAGTGTAAATGTTCACATCAGATGTCTGTCTTTTGTTTGGCTGGAAGCCACAGGAGTGAGTTCAGTTCCAGACCTGAAGTGCGGCTAGAGGCCATAGTCTCAGAGGATTCACCAGGCTCTAAAGTTCTATCAGACCAACAAACCTGGTCCCTTTTTTTTTTTTTTTTTTTCCTTTTTTTGATTTTGAGTTTTATTCCACATTATTCTCCCACTCTATCCAGGATCTCCTACATAGTTCTCCCTTGGAGTGGTTGACTGTGGTAGCCAGGTACCATCTAGTTCTTTTGGTCTCATAGTCATATAGGTCATCATGTGGTCTCTTAGAATACACATGTTTTCTTACTAAAAACTTTTTTCATGTAATTAGGCTAGTCTTTATGCATAATTCAAGAACATATAGAAGAACTGCTTACAAATTGTTTTGCTGTGAACTACTGATTTTTATTGTTCTTTAAAATGCAGAAGCAAAGAAAAACAATTTTTGATGGCCCCAGAAGAGACTATCCTAACTTTTGCTGAGATCCAGGGGATGCAGGAAGCTCTGCTCGGTGCCACTGTAATGAACAGCATTGTAATTTGGTAAGCTTCCCCTCTGGGTGCTCAATGTCCTCATCTGTAATAAGAGTATGTGCTCCTGACTTCACAGAGTTGCAAAGATAAGGTTAGCGACTGGTTTTGTTTCTGTGTTGTCAAATGCTAAAGATGTGTCTTAACAAGAGCATCATATTCATTCAGACATTGTCTGAATTAATTAATTAAAACATCAGGGTGAATAGAATATTTTTAAATAAATGGAATTGTATTATCCTATTGTCAGAATTTTCTGTTGTTTCTGCTTCTGGTTAATGGCTGAGTAGCTTCTGTAGGATCAATTTGCCTTCCTCAAGTGACTGTGAACTCTAGAGAAAATATAAAAAACAACTATGTAAAGGTACTGGAGAGCAAACAGAAATAGATGCTGGAGGAGATTTCAACACTTAGAGGAAGGAAATGGTGATGGACAAGTTTCCTGTTGTTTTGGCCAGAAGTCAACCCCTAGTCTGGGCACTGGGTGACTAAAACACTATGAAAAAAACCTTCCATCTTACTGACTTAAGAAAATAAAGGATGGAGTTTAGAGTGACCCTGTTGTTGTTTGCCACTGACTTGGACCTGACTCAGTGACCCCTCCTTGGGTTTCCAAGGCGCTATCACTTTGGAAGTAGATTGCCCAACCTTCCTTCCAAGGAGTGGCTGGTGGGTTTGAACCACCAGCCTTCTGGTTAGCAGTCAAGTGCCTTAGGCACTATGCTACCTGAGCTCCTAGAGTGACCCTAGCAGCTAGAAAATAAGGATGAAAAGTGTCCAAAAAAGAAAGACCCAGAGAAGAGTACCCCTAAATTCTGGGTATAATCTTTGCCCGAGTATCTGACTGGCTTTTATGTATATACAGGACAGTCTCCTAGCAGCCCAGCTAAGGCTGAGAGAACTGTGATTTCAGCATTTAGACTCTGAGTTCAGCCAGATTAACTACTTACTAAACAAACAGAAATTCTTCCAGGGAACATTGTAGATGCCAGAGTTTATGCCAGATGTTGTGATGTCTAGGATATACTGCAAAATTGCTGGATATGCACAAAAATTGTATATGATTATAGGAGCCAGATTAACAAATTTATCGTGAGTTGACTCCCCAGCCACCACCTCCTCCTCATGAATACAGGGGAGAACCATAAGCCTTTACAAGGTTAATTTTATGTTACTACTTTATAAATATTCTTTCTTCCAAACTACCCCCAAAACAACAACAAAACAAAACTTTCTGTGGTTCTCCTTTGAATTCAACCTAATTCTCTACTGTTAGCCTGTCCTTTCAGGTCCTCTACAATCTGGCATTCCCCTGTCTTTCTGATCCTTATCTTATGTTACCTACTGGTCCAAACAAAGTAGACCTCTTGTTACTGAAACAGGTAATGCTGCTTTGACCTCTGCTTCTCTTCAGACTGTGTAAGAACTTCACAGCTAGCTCTGACCTGGCTCTACCATCCCCTTAGGATCAGAGGACAGCCATGGGACCCAGGCTTGTTTTTCTTCAGCGTCCTCTTCCCCAGCCTCTATTCCAAAACTTCCTCTCCTACTAAGCCATATTCTTTAGCTCCATTTTCCATGTAATGGATTACAAAGGGATTTGAGATTAGGGACAGTTCTCTGTACTTCGCTTCTAACCTTCTTTTAAAGGGTATCTTCAGCCCCACAGTTGCCTTAAGTGCTTTCTCTGTTGCATCACCTCAGCCTGCACTGATGTTCCCTCTGCATTCATATTGGCCTTTTTTTTTAACTTAGCCTATGCTGCTTTGTAGGAGCTCTGGTAGCATAGTGGCTAAGACACTTGCCTGCTAACCAGACGGCTAGTGGTTCAAACCCACCAGCCACTCCTCGGAAGGAAGGTTGGGCAATCCTACTTCCGTAGTGATACTGCCTCGGAAACCCAAGGAGGGGTCGCTGTGAGTTGGGTTTGACTTGACGGCACATAACAACAACAACAACATGCTACTTTGTATTATTTATCTTTTCTGAACCTTGAAAATAGGCCACCTCTAATATTTATTCTTGGTGCCTGCCTAGCTCCTTGCTAAGGCACTCAAAGATACGTTGATTGTACTATCTATCGAAAGTTAGCATTTACCTTTTGGGAACCATACTGTTTTTTAATTTGCACATAGTGCTTACCTTTCCTATTTAATTTGTGACTTATTAGGCATTTAAAGGAATTTGTTAAAAATATATAATAAATAAAGCAATTTGTGTTATACTCAGAGTTCAAGTAGCCTTCTTTGAAACTGTTACTGAAGGTCTTAGTATTTCATCTTTGTCAAGATACATTAACTGAGCACCATCTTTCAATCATTCATTAAGTAGTTGAGTTTCTCTTTATGTACCAGTCTCTGTGAGAGATGTAAGATAAATCAGATATGAATCCTGGTCCCATCGCCCCTAAAATCTAATAGGTAAATTAAAGACTTCTTTAGTAAGACAAAATCAAAATGATAAGAGGTTTGGCCAGAGTGCTTTGGAATTTAAGGAAAGACCAATCAATAAATACAGAGCATATAACTAATGTGTGGGGGGTAAATGTACTTTGGTATCTGGTATTCCTGATAAGGAAAAAATTAATTAAAACTAGATGTTTCACTTTGATTTCAAGAGGTTTTTCTTTTTTCTTTTTTTTTTTTTACATTTTATTGTGATTTGGGTGAAAGTTTGCAGGGCAAATTCATCTTCCATACAGCAGTTCACATACACTTTGTCTCATGACATTGACTATAATCTCCCACAGTGCAACAGCTCTCCTCCCACTTCCTCCCCATAGTTACCTCTTCCTTCTGTCCTTCCCTCCCAAGCACTCCTGCCCCCCAAGTTGTCTCCTTATACATACACAGCCCTTCTATTCTCCCATGATTGATTCAAGAGATTTTCCTTAACCACAAGCTTAAAAACCTTAACCCAAAGCTGATCTTGCCTGTAGTTTGCTGACCTGTGTGTTTTACCCAAAATTGCTAATCAGCTTTGTGGCATTCTTAAACTTGTTTTTTTTCCAGCTCAAAGAGAGCAGTCAATAATAAATTCATTACCTTGTGATTTAATGAAAAAGACTGTGTGTTTCCTTAATTTTAATTTCAAGAGGTGTCAATATCTACAAATGTATAAAGGGGTAAATTTTTAGGAGTTCATTCTAAAGCTAACTCAGTAACCATTAAGTACTTCATCATCATGGAAATTTGTTTTCATTAAGCAAAAATTGTTTAAGTCTCTGTGAAATCTCCATTCTCAGGAAGCGGTTTCCTCTTACAGCAGAACTTTGCTGCGATTTGCAAATTGTTTATTAAATCATAGAGCAATCAGACACTATGTTACCGTAAATACCGTGTTACCGTAAATACTGTTACCGTACACCAGAACCAACTTAGAGTGGAGCCATCAGGACAGAACCACAGCATAAGTTAGGGACTACCTGTATGACCAAAGGCTATGTAGATGAGTGGGTACCTGAGATGAACGCTGAGAGGGGCGTACGATTGTGAAGGCCATGGAGATTGTGAGATCCCGGGTGGAGGAAGAGTGAGCAAAGACGTGGGTGTGTAAAGCACACACAGATTGACAGCCTTGGAAACCGTGTGGGGCAGTTCTTCTCTGTCCTGTAGGGTTGCTGTGAGTCAGAATCAACAGCATGGGTACGCTCAATCTGAAGAAGCTTTGGTGGCACAGTGGTTCAGCACTCTAGGGTTACTGAGAGGTTGGTGGTTTAACCCACCAGCTGCTCCACTGGGAGAAAGATGTGGCAGTCTGCTTCCGTTAAAATTACAGCCTTGGAAACTCTATGGGGCGATTCTGTTCTGTCCTATAGGGTGGCTGTGAACCAGAAACATACATATGTTCTGTAAGATTTTAGTTAAGTAAGTGAACAATAATGCGAAAATATTGCAGTGCTGGGTTCATTAAGGTTATAGATGTGGAAGAGAACTTGAACTTTATCTGTGCTGAATGTGGAGCCACTTTGTTTGTTTGTTTGTTTCCCCAAAAATCAATAGGATGACATGACAGAGCAATTATCAAAGTCCACATCCTTGTTAAAACTAAGGAGTGGATCCCACAAACTTTCTTTTTTTAAATAAAATGATGTTTTTGGTGAATATTTACACTGTAGATTAGGTTCCCATTTGACAATTTCTGTGTAAATTGTTCAGTGGCGTAAGTTACATTTTTGAATGTGTCAGTATTATCTTTAATTGTGTTCTGGTTGTTCCATTTCCAGTACTCTGGTTCTTATGTCTACCCTCTTCTCTCCTGCCTGCCTTTTTCCATTTTTTACTCCATGTCAGTGTTCACTTCTCTCCATTAAATTAAAGACTTCTTTAGTAAGACAAAATCAAAATGATAAGAGGTTTGGTCAGAGTGCTTTGGAATTTAAGGAAAGACCAATCAATAAATACAGAGCATATAACTAATGTGTGGGGGGTAAATGTACTTTGGTATCTGGTATTCCTGATAAGGAAAAGGCTAGTGTTCATATAAACGTAGAGACATACTTATAACTCTGCTTTAGGTATAGTCTGTCACCCAGCCAAAGTTGGTTTCTTGACCTTTGTCTTCCCTGAAAAATGTAGGCATAGTAAGTGTCACAAAATGATGATAGAGCTTACCATTTGCCTCATATCAATACCAAGTAAATGGGGTAAAGGAAAACTTATCACACTTGGAGATACATATTCCTGGCATGGCAGATTCAGTCTAAGACTAAGCTACCAAGCTAAACTATTGGTAAAGTTCTATGTTTAGCTAAATCAGTGACTAAACAAAACTAAGGTATTGTGTCTTCAGTTTTTCCCTTGGTCACTCCCTAAAGGAAGCTGTGATAAAGAAGAGATTACTATATGAAAATCAATTTACCAGAATAATGTTAGCAGCTTATTTATCTTTCATATCTAGGAATTTAAAAACGGGTCAGCTCCTGAAAAAGATGCACATGGGTGACTCCTGCCAGGCCTCAGTCTGTCACAGAGCCTATTCTGAAATGGTAAGTACAGGAGGACCACAGAGTGAGCTAAAGAGCGTCACGGTAGGTAGAGTAGAAGGGTCAGTGACAACAGGGGAAACCCCCAGTGACGGGTTGACACAGGAGCCGGAACAGCAGTGAACATGAACATGGCGCAGGGCCAGGCAACGTTCGTTGCTGGACATGAGGTTGTCTTGAGTCGGCTTGATGGTACCTAACAACAGTCAGCTACCTTGTGCCTATGTTTTCAAATTTGGACAGCAGTGTTTGTTCATTGTTAAAATTTATGGATGAAATAACTGTTGGTATAATGTGATTGGTAAATTATCTGTCTGTAGGATTTGCTGTTGTTGTTATGTGCCATCAAGTCGGACCCGACTCATAGCGACCCCTCTTTGGGTTTCCGAGGCATTATCACTACGGAAGTAGATTGCCCCATCTTCCTTCCGAGGAGTGGCTGGTGGGTTTGAACTGCCAGCCTTTTGGTTAGCAGTCAAGTGCTGCCTTAGGCACTACACTACCAGAGCTCCCCTGTAGGACTTAAGAGCATTTATTTCTAACTGTAAGTTTATGCTGAGAAGTAATATGCCCATTACCAGGTTTGACTTCCAACCCCATCACCTAAAATGATTTATGATGTGAATGAATACCCTTAGGGAGAACGATTAAACAGCCATGATGTTTTTCTCTTAGGTTTTCGTGTGCCCGTATAGAAACAAATTGTGTCTTAGCCACTGTGTAAATGGATGTGGCGTACGGTCTATTTCTGACATCTGAAAAAAATCTAAGGTAGTTAGTTGTGCAGGAGTCGGGAATAACTGCTTGGATATTGGCTGTTGGAATTGTGAGTAGAGGCACTAGCATCAGGCTTAGTACCTGTGGAGACTCACTTGCCAGCCTCAGGGGCAACCCTGGCAGCATCAGCACCCACAGGCTCTGAGTGCCAAGAGCGCGTCTTCCCCTAATCTAGCAGGATCTATGGAATTCAGCTCAAAACTTGTGTAATCATAGGTCATATAATCTTGAGCTGACTTTTTTATCCTTAAAATAACAGGATTAAACTCATCTTTTAAGTTTACCTATTACACATTTACATACACAGTGTATCTTTTTTATTATAACATTAATAGCTATTTGAAATGAAATTTTTCGGTAACGCAGAAATGTGTAAGATAGTAAGCAAAAGTCCCTCATGAAGTCCATCTCCAAAAATAATAGTTAGTAGTTTAGTTCTGAGATCAGCAAACTTTTTCTGTAAAGGACTAGATAGTAAATATTTTTTCACTTTGCAGGCCATATGATCTGTTTTGCAACCACTCAGCTCTACCAAACAGCCACAGACAATATGTAAGCAAATGGCCGTGGCTATGTTCCAGTAACATGTTATGGACACTGAAATTTGAATTTCATGTAATTTTCAAATGCCACAAAATATTCTTTCTTTTCCAACCACTTGAAAAACTAAAAATCTCTTTTGGCTAATGGTCCATACAAAAACATTGGGCCACATTTGGCCTATAGGCCATAGTTTGCCAATTCTTAGTTTAGGATAGGGGCCCTGATGGTGCAGTGGTTAAAATGCATGGCTGTTAATCAGAAGGTCAGCCATTCAATAGTAGGCAAAGTTATGATAACTTCTTAGCCACAGTCAACCACCCTGATGGAGCAAGTTGTTGGACCTGTGTGCTTGGGACCATGGTCATGGGGGACATCAAGCTCAATTGGCATAACATGCTACACAAAAACATTGTTCTATATCCTACTTTGGTGAGTAGCAACTGGGGTCTTAAAAGGTTGCAGACAGCCATCTAGATGCAACAACTTGTCTTTCCTCGCCCAAACCAAAGAAGAATGAAGAAAACCAAAAATGCATGGACACAGTTAGTCCAAGGGACTAGTAGACTATGTGTACCTCAGCCTACATGACTATGAGACCAGAAGAATTAGATGGTGCCCAGCTACCACTGTCAGCCACTTGGAAAGGGATTGGTGCCAGAGGTCCTGGATAGAGGAGGAGAACAATGGAACAAAACTCAAAATCATAAAAAAGACCAGCCTTCCTGGTCTGATAGAGCCTGGTGAAACCCTTGAGACCATGGCTCCTAGTTAGTCTTCAGGCCTGGAATTAAACTCACTCCGTGGCTTCCAGCCAAACAATAGAAGGCATGTTACGGTATGCCAGCTAGGTACACGCCTTAGAACAATCAACCATGGGAGATCAGAAAGGTAATATTTGCACAGAGAGACAGCTGGGGCAGGAATGCAGAGGAAGGAAGGGCACAAGGAAGAAGTAACTACTGGGAGGAAGTGGGAAGAGAGCTGTTTCATTGTGGGGAATTGCAGTCAGCGTCATGAAAGAATATGTGTATGAATTGCTGTATAGAAAATGAATTTGCTCTGTAAACTTTCACCCAAATCACAGTTTAAAAAAGAAAAAAAATCAGCCATTCAAACTCACCAGACACTCTGGGAGAAGGATGTGGCTTCCATAAAGGCTTACAGCCTTGGAAACCCTGTGGGTCAGTTTGACTGTGGGATTGCTGTGAGTCAGAATTGACTCGAGGGCAGTGGGTACTTTAGGATATGGCATTAACATTTTAAAATCTATCATTTTTTCCAGTTGCAAAAGTAATTCATTCTCATTATAAAAATTCAATCATTCTAGAATCTACAAAAAAATTGCATAACGTGCATGAACTTGGAGGACGTTGTGCTGAGTAAAATAGGTCGATCACAGAAGGACAAATATTAGTACCCTATTGTAAAAAGTCAAGGAAAAGTTTATACATGGAAGGAAACTTTCTTTGTTGGTTGCTGGGGAGGGGAGGGGAGGGAAGGCTAAATGCCTACATAGGTTGGGGTGGGGGGGACATGTATATATGTGTATATAGAAACCAGAGATTATTAGTGGTTACCAGGGGAAAAGGGGAAGCTTTGGTTTGTGGGGCATTGCGTTTTCTATTATGTTTCTAGAATGTATAAAATAAAAAGTGGGTGTGGTTGATCCTAAGGTAGCCCTCTAATGGAGTTCCCGGGTGGTGCTGATGGTTAATGCACTCAGCTGCTAACTGAAGGCTGGAGGTTCGAGTCTGCCCGAAGGCAACTCTGAGAGAAGCCTGGCGATGCACTGCTGCAGGATCAGCCGTTGAAAACCCTGTGAACCACGGTTCTGCTGACACTCTTGGAATTGCCATGAGTCAGTAGACGCAACAGCTGCACTAATTACTTCTCCACACCCCACTCCCAAAGAGAACTAGTTTTAACAATTTAGGGGAGTGGGGTGTATACACACGCACAACATTAATATTTTTATTAGAAAATGTAACTGAAGCTGGGAGGGATCTTCAACACATTTTCTCACACAAACAAGCATAGGTCATGGCATCTTTTTTTGCCACTCTGAGTAAAGTAGTGGTGTCTGGGTTTTAAATAAACTGTTGTGGACTGGCCCAAGAATTCAGTCACCACTTTTAAGATTGTTTTTATGGGAAAATGTGTTCTGAGTTTTCAAAAACTAATTTATGAATGGACATTTCTGATTTGAGGAGCTCCCTCCACATGATTATGTATTCTCTCTCCCTGCACCAACATTTCGGCACATGAGTGCATGAAATGTGGTGGAGGTGTCCCAGCTAGATTTCATGTCTTCCAAGACTGGCTGGGAAACGGTGGAACTGTAGGAGAGACCCCAGAGGGGAGCTCAGTGATAATTTCAACAGGAGTAAATCCTGGGCACTTTGGAGCCTGTCAGTCATTTCAGTAATTCTTTGGTTTTGTCTTTGCCAATCTTTTATCTTTCTCAGCAGACTCTTGATGGTTTATTTGGTTATCCATTTTCCCTCCTCAATTAGGGGCTCCTGTTTGCTGTTCTGAGTCACCCTTGTGCCAAAGAGAGTGAGTGGCTGGGAAGCCCTGTGTTTCAGCTGCTTGTGATTAACCCCAAGACGTCCCTGAGCATGGGTGTGATGGTCTACTGTCTTCCTCAAGGGCAAGCTGGCAGGCAAGTGTGTGTGAAAGCCCTTCAACGAGGGTAACAGTTTCAAAAAGGCTTGTGCAAATGCAGATGCCCGCGAGTCTTGTGTCACTTAGATAAAAGGAAAATGTGAAATACTACAGATCACAGTAAATGTCAGTCAGTAGGATGAAAGGTAGTGGATTGGAGAGTCAAACTCCATATCCTTATATCTTGATCCCTATAGTGGGCATTAGATAGGCATTTCAACCCCATTTTTTCCCATAAGGGAAACATGTTAATACAGAATAATGTTCTGTACAAATTCTTAGTTTATGTTCTTTCCATGAAACTTAAGGAAGTTTTAAATACATTAGGAAGATATCTTTACTTTGAAATCTGACTTCAGATCAACCTGAACCTTCATCATCTTAGCAATTGATAATGTCTGTTGATTAATATTTATCTGCTTATCTGTTGACTCACGATAAGATGTGTTTATCAATATATAACACAGCTTTTGGCATCCCAAAAGTGTCCTGAGCCATGTAGAGCTTTGAAGTAGTGCTCACATTGTTAAGCCAACCAAGCAACGTCTGAACGTGTGATTCCTCCAGACTGCTTTATTAACGTTTGAAATTACCAGCAAGTGTGGGAAATAGCCCTGGTAAATCAAAATCATAAAGGTTAACTTTAATGACTTACAGGGATAAGGAACCTTGATAGTTACAATGTGGATTTCTTTGCACAAAGCTTGACCAATGCATGTTCTAAAAGGTATTCTCTCTCCTGTGCACTTGACCAGCTGTGCAATTTCTTCAGATGTTCTTAGTTTAACAAGAACCTCAGGACTGTCATCTGCAATGTGTGCTTACGTATAGAACTTGCTTTCTTAAGTATGGAGAAAGAACCATAGTCACTGATATAGACATTGAGGATAAGGATAACTGCTTATTCAAGATTTTCTTTGTTACTTTCAAATCCATTTGTTCAGCAGACCTTGAAAGCCTATTTGAGGCCAACCCTGTGGGAAACACTACTTTTTCTCATCTCATGCAAGGTAGAAAGCTGGTGTTCAGTGCAGAAAGTGCCTTGAAGGAGGTTTCCCCTTTTGGGGAGCACAAAGGGTAGCGACATGCATTAATCGGCAGTGGCAGGCTGCAGGGAAATTGTCAAGGAAAGCTTTATGGAATTTCAGAGATTGAGTTAGGAGTTAGCTACACAAAGATGGGTGGGAGCCAGGGATACAAAATATTCTTCACTTCCCTCAGAGAATATTCGTTGAGTTGAGGGCTGACCTTTGCAAGGCACTAATGATGCAGCAGCGAGGAATAATAGCTGTAAATTTAGTCGAGCACTTCCACCTGCCACATGCTGTGCTGAGCCCTTCATGTGAACCATTTCATTAAACCTCACCACAATCCTACAAAGTAGGGAGGGCTCTTATCATCATCTCTGTTTTACTGATAAACTTAAATAACTTGCCTGGGACCACACAACTCTTAAGGAGAGTTCGAATTCAAACCCAGGTAGCTGAGGGCAGAGTGCCTGCTCTTGAAGTTGACCACATTGCTGCTTCCATGATGCTTCCATTTTTGTGGGGCAGCCAAACACCCACAAAGTATGTAAATAGAATAATCTCACATATCTGAAGGTAAAAACCGATCATGTCGTGAGACGGGGCTCAGTGTGTGTGCTGCTTTAGACAGGTGATTAGGCATGACCTTTCTAAGGAACGAATGCCTGGATGATGGTAGGGACGCAGCCATGCGAGGATCTAGGGACAGAGCCTGCCAGAGGCAGGGAGGAGCAGAAGTAAGACACTGAGGCAAGAGCAAGCTTGACTAGTTTGAAGACTACAAGGAGGGACAGTGTGAACTAGAGCGAGGATGGTAGAGATAGAGGCAGGGTCTGGACAGGATATGAGTACATCTAAAACCGCAACCGACTGGCCAGCAGTCTTCTAACTAGGCATTCATATTTACTGATATTTTTGTTCTTACTGTTGCTTTAGGGACTATGGTTTTGCCCTATTTAAAGAGAAATTGTTTGTTTTGCTATGTGATTTGAATGGTCTCTTCTCTGCTTAATGTCAGGTTCCTGGAAGGTGACGTGAAAGATAATTTTGCAGCTGCAGTGTTGACTTCTGGAACGATTGCCATTTGGGACTTACTTCTGGGTCATTGCACTGCTCTCCTTCCTCCTGTCTCTGACCAAAACTGGTCTTTCGTGAAGTGGTCAGACACAGATTCTCATTTGCTGGCTGGGCAGAAGGATGGAAATATATTTATATACCACTACTACTAAGTGGACAAGAAGAAAATTGGATACATTTGACCTCTTCAGTACCTTTTTGGAGTTGTAACTGTAATATCTGAGTGATGTTTAAAATACTTACTTTCACTCATTCTGACAGACTTTATTTTTTCCTGGTGGTGGTGGCACTACTGATCTTTGGAGGAACGGGTTTTAGGCTTTTT